GTTGACAGTTAATTTGCATAAGGAGATGCTGATTAGCCAATGGGAAGGGTAGCGGTCGTACACTAATTACCATGTTTCTCTTTTATTAGTGTAGATGATGATGCATGTTGAGAAGAAAAAATAGAGAAGAGACGATAAGAGGTATCTCAATGGAGCAGAATAAATACAGAGGATAGCAATAGTATATGAACTCAGAGAAATAAGAGGATGGAACTGGAGAAAAACTATATACATGCTATTGTAAGAACCTTAACTTTGATCAAGGTGGAGAGAAATTGGACTCTTTGAGTAGAAGAGCAAAATGACCTTATCCTCTAAAAGGTTCCCTAATGCTGTCTTAAGGTGGGCTATAGAATAAGAGAAAAGACCAGTGATGTGAATAGTGCTGTAATCCAGTCAAGAGAAGACAGTGCTTGGACTATAGTGGTAAGCTAAAAGTTGGCTGTTATAAAAAATCCTATTTGGATTAATTTTGAAATGAACAGCAGGATTTGCTGTCATTATATGATTGATGTGAGAGAAAGAGAGGAGTCAGATCCCAAGGTTTTAGCCTGACTGGTTGTTCCGCTGTTTTGCATATTACCCTTTTATTATATTGGACTATTTACAATATCCAAAATATTGAAGCAACCTATGTGTCCACAGATAGCTGAATGGATAAAGTCAATGTCACACACACACACACACATGCACACACGCACACACGTGTGCACAAACACACACACACACACACGCACGCACACATGCACACACGCACACACGCACACACGCACACACGTGTGCACTGAAATATTAGCCATAAAAAGAATAATATCTTGCAATTTTCAACAACATAGATGAAACTGGAGGGTATTATGCTAAGCGAAATAAGACAGAGAAAGACAAATACCATATGATTTCACTTATGTGTGAAATCTAAAAAAACAAAACAAATGATCAACCAAAACAAAACAGGAGCAGACTCATAGATAGAGAACCAACTAGTGGTTGACAGAGGGATGCGGTGGGGAAATGGGTAAAATGGGTAAAGGGGGTTAGGAGTACCAATGTCCAATTATAAAATAAATAAGTCACAGGGAAGTAATGAACAGTATAGAGAATATAATCAATAATGCTGTAGTGACTGTATGGTGACAGAAGGAAATTAGACTTATCATGGTGATCACTTCATAATGTATGTAAATATCGAACCACTATGTTGTACACCAGAAACTATTATAACATTGTATATAAACTATATTTCAATCAAAATGAAAGGTAAAATCAGACTTTAACCAGAGAATAAATGTGTTATATCTCACTAAGTCAGTGACAGAAATAAAATAAGGTACCTTCAGTCTAAAAAAGGTGATACTTGTTAGCAAGTCCACAGTTGATTTCAGGTCTTGCAGTCTTTCAGCATTGCCAGCAGGAAAGTTTTCCTGGTCAATTAGGAAACAGAAAATGGGTAAATTATCAGCATTAATGTGAAACATCACAGAAAGTAAACAATTTTGAAATATACTCTTCTTAGTCTTAGGAAGCTATATCTTTTTATTTATTCCCATAATGCAATAAAAATATACAAAATGATATTATGAATGCAATATTATTCCTTGTTATTTAATAGTGTTGCTACTAAAAGAGAGGAAGACAACATATATTTGAAAATATTTATAATTTTCTCGATATAGGTAATTTTTTCAAAAATACTTTGGGAATATTTACATGTGTTACCGATTAGCTGCCTCCTGCACACCCCCTACTGGGGATGTGCCCGCAACCAAGGTACATGCCCTTGACCAGAATCGAACCTGGGACCCTTCAGTCCCCAGGCCGACGCTCTATCCACTGAGCCAAACCGATCAGGGCTACATTGACTTTTAATCACAAAGAAACTTTATTAAAAAAATAAGACTGTACTGCAAAGTCTCTCCTTGAAGTACTGTGGATTTTAACAAAAAGTTTCTATCAGTGAGACTTGGTGAGATATGTCAACAACAATGGAGATATTTTCAGAGTAGCTTCTTAAATGGCTCTCTGGAAAAATCATAGGTAACTTCTAGCTATTAATGAACTGGAGCAGAGTTGGGGTGGCAGAGTTGGGGTGTCTAAATGATGGTGAATGAGTGAACTCAAGTCCCTGTTTCCCCTCAAATATCTTTTCATTTCCTGGCGTGCAGTTCTCTTCTCATAGTGTTGGCCCCAGTTCCAATATAAAGGGTGAGTTTGACAAAATTTGGTATTATAATTTCTAGAAATATGCAATTAAGATGTCCATCAATAAGAGACTGAAAGTTGAATACAGGAGAAATACATGTGTGCAGATATAAAAAGATGTTTAGGGTAAACTGCTAAATAAAGAATGCAATCATTATTACTATAGTTTTTATGTGAATAACAATTGTAATTATTTTTTGTAACTAAAACTATATGTATTTATATTCATATATATATATATTTGTGTGTGTGTTTCACCTGGAGAGGCAGTATAGAATTGTTGACAATGAACTCTGCACAGCTTAAAGATCACATTGTACTGATCCAGAAGGAATGCCTTAAGCAGCAAGTATCTCAAAAGCTAGGGAAATATTAGCAGGATATCTCAGAAACAAGGAATGAGTTTTCAAGATGAGCACTGGGCCATATATCCACTCCATAAATTAGCTGATGGCCACTCAATCTGATGGTTATTGAAAGAATCATAAAATTAAGCTACACACACAGTATTGCTGTAGGCTTATGTGAGGCTAGGTACATGACCAAGGGACAAACGCTTGCTCATTTAGCAGACCCTTCTAATGTGACAGGAAATGAGATCCCATAATCAGGATTTTTTGCTTTTCCCTTACATAATGAATAGCTTTTTACAGTATGACAAGAAATCATCTGAGCCAAGCACAATATTTTACCTTTAGTCAAATCATTTTGTACATACCCTATACTTTGACAGGTCAATCCTTAAAGAGTTGTGCAACTGGTCTAGTAGTTTTATGAATCTTTCCCTCTGTCCAAAGAAAACACAAAATAGGAGAATGGAAATAAATGGTCACTATCAGTTATTGTCCCCATTTCATAGAAATCAAGGTTCAAAAATATCAACGACTTGTCCAAGATTATAGAGCTGGTATGTGACAGAGCAGTGTCTCAAAATAAGGTCTCTTTGACACCAAATTCACATTCTTTCAGTAAGTCACACTGGCTCTCTGTGATGAATGAGAAAGTATCCAGAGAATTATGTACTGTAGAAAGAGAGCAGGCAACTGAATTGCCACAGTACTGATTCATGACAATATGAGTCAGGAAGAGAAAATATAACCCATCTCTCTACCCACACACACCAGCCCACCTCCCCAGAAATAAATTTTAGTGTGTGTGTGTTTTTTTTAATACTTCTCCCACCTATGGAAGTGGGAACAGCTGCTGTTTTTTCAAAAACAATTTCAAAAAGCAATTTCTTTTTGGTAACATGTACAGACTTCACAATCTGAAAGGATCTATTGCTTTTAACTTATGTTTATGTTTTAGGCTAAAAAAAAGTATAAAATATCGGGCAACAAAAACAAAACACTAATGCTTCCCCTTGATTCTGTGTTGGTATTGGACCGACCTCTTCATAGGGATTTGAAGATGATAAGAATAAGAAGTTTTGCTAATAAACATAAGGATAAAGTTGTGTGGATGAAAAACATTGAGTAAAAATATCAGTCTCATGCACGAACTTTATAGGTAGATAGTCCCACCATTCTGAGTCTCAAATTTCTAACCAAAAATTACAATAAAAAATATATGGGGGTAGGAGTAAATTATAGTCAATGTCTCTGCCTACATTAATATTCTGTATATACTAAAATACATTTTGAAGACACTGGCAAAAGTGAAACATTTTTTTAGTGTTTTCACATACAAGTTGGATTTATGGGGTATAGAACTCTTATTCCCTTGAAATTACTGATCTTGATGAAGTGAGCTGAATATTAATTGAGTTGATGAATTGTTCCTAAGTTGAAATTTCAATTTTCTGAATAAAGTGAAAATTTATCAGGTTTACACATTCGTGAACACAGTTTGAATATTGCTTCTGTGTTAACCTTTATGGAGGCAATAAAGCAATCTAATAAATGCACCTTGCTTTTCAGAAGGTTGCCACTTGTTCAGTGGATAAGACTCTCCTATAAAACAACTGAAAAATACTGTTGAGTTGACGGTATAAAAGTTTTCTTTTCCATTTCCATCATACCTTCCCAGGAGAGGACCTGGCTCATACTATCCTTTATTAACCTTTTATTCCCCCCATACTAGTACATGTGGATCAGTGGCTCTCAATCAAAATTTAAAAAAAATAAAAGAGCTATTATAATAATCAGTTTAGTCCATAGCAAAGTTAGTTATTCAATGATTATAAAAGAAAATGTGTTGATGTCATATCTCTGACCTCTTCAACTGACCTCTGTGATTGGTACAAATCATCAAGACAGCTGGCGTGACCCTAGTCAACCATGCTCTGGCCCAAATCACTGGCCCTGCTATATACACTGGGACCAACCATCCTGGTTGTCTGCTCTATATCCATCCTTCCACTCTTCCTTACTAATGAAATCGCATGAGTCAAATGTGTCCATTACAAGATGCCCACTTTCCCAGACCTCTTTGCCTCTAGGAATGGCCATGTAGCCTGGTTTAGGTCAGAGGGTGAACTCAGCCTATTATCAATGAATTCCTATTTGGAAAGATTCAAAAGAGTGTGTGGCAGGCAGTGTTTGCCGTATTACTGTTTGCCACGTAAGTCTTTGTTAGTTTTGTTTTTGTTTTTCCCATTTGCTCTTTGTGTTTTCCTCCTTTTCCCCACCTTAAATGTAGACTAGATCCTAGAAGGTAAAGCAGTCATCCTGTGGCTATAAGATGAAAAGCTAAGTAAATGGTAACAATAGTGTCTGGAGCAAGAAGCTAGGAGTCCCCACACCTCACCCTTGCCATGTCTGCCCACCCTTTCAAAAAATTACAATTCTGAGCAGCTACAGTAGCCCTGGGTTTCTATTACCTCTGTCCTTAGGTTACATGGAGAAAAAAATCTTATCTAGTTAAGTTTGTTTGAGTTTCTGTTTCACGACGCTGAACAAAACCGTGACTGTTACAGATCACACATGTGGTTCCTACCTGGGTCTTCAGTAACCAGCTGGAAAATTTTACATTCAAGATAAATAGAAAACTGTGGAGAACACTGCCAGGCTTGTCACAAAATCTCAAACAATATCAGATAATGTGAAATTAAAAGTGCACTGCTGATTAAATTTTTATAGAGATCCTTTAAACAGCAGGACAGCTTGAAATTTAATTTTAACTTCCATATTTCTATTCAACTTGAGTGCAATTACCTTTGCAGGAGCAGAGGAGGCCTACTGCCTGCGTGGTGTGATTTGAAGAATAAAAGACTGGGTGATTAAAGACTGTTTCCCCTAAAGTGCATGCCATAGAGTCAGAAACTGCCATATTATTCAGTTCTTTGCTTTGGATAAGGACTCCATGTCTGGCATTTGGTAGGGATAAAATCAATAACAAGAATACTAAGTATTATCAGTTATCAAAAGTGTAGATTTAACTAGTTGATAAGAAAAACTAGATCCAGATAGTAAATATTTTCAGCTTTGTAGCCTTTGTCACAGCTATTAAATTCTGTGTTGTAGCATAGTAGCTCCCATAGACAATATATAAACAAATGGGGCTGGGTTTTTTTTCCAATAAAATTTTGTGCATGGACATTGAAATTTGAATTTCATATCATTTTTATGTCCCACAAATAATAGTCTTCTTTTGACTGTTTTAACAATTTAAAAAATCTAAAATCCAATCTTAGGTCATGAGCCATACAAAATCAGTAGTTTTGGCCCTTGGGCAACGGGGAGATTTTGAGTAGGGGGAAGCTATTGCTACTGCACAACTGCATTCTTAGTGGGTCTCCTTAGGATCCTGGAACTGTGGAAGGAAAAGCCCTTACAAGGAAGGGGTGCAAAAATCTCTGCAGCATCCTGGACTCTTCTCTCTCTTCCATTCCTTTCTTCTCAGTGCCTCACCCAATGGCAGGGACAATTTCACTTGAAGATAAAGATACCTAAGCTTTGGGCGCACTCACTGGCCTCAGCTTTCTTGGGAGGAGCCCTGGTCAAGTGCTCACCTGATCTTAGGTGTTTTTTTCATTTGCAAGAATAGGAGTAAACATTATTCTGACCTGGACTGACAAATTGTGAAGACTTAGAGAGCCAGAAACATCAATGAGAGAGAAACATTGATCAGCTGCCTCCTGCATGCCCCCCACTGGGGATGTGCCCGCAACCAAGGAACATGCCCTTGACCGGAATCGAACCCGGGACCCTTGAGTCTGCAGGCCGACGCTCTATCCACTAAGCCAAACCAGTTCTGGCTGATCTTAGGTTTTTATAACATTTGCCAGAATAGGAGTAAAAATTATTCTGACCTGGACTGACAAATTGTGAAGACCTTTTTTCTAGATGATACCAAAAGTAATCATTGAATAAGAAAAGCAGAAACATTTCAAATAGAAGTAATACAGAGGCTATTTCGATCATTTTTGGTAATTTAATGAATGTTGGAATTAATTGATTTGAAGTTAATATGGATACCAACAGAGATTCTATAACATTATAAAATGCCACTCCAATGTTGCTATCAAGGATAAACATCTTAATACCTTAGTAAATGTCTTCGATTCAAAGAGCATTTAAGAAGTCCCTTCACAGGCAAGCTTGAAAAGCAGTGAGATGTTATTATTCACTGATCAAGAGAGCTTAGTAGCTTCCCTCAGTTTGACTAAGCTTTACACAGGCTTCTGTTCTTGACTCTAGGTCCTGACCTCCCTTTTTTATTTTGAGTATTTTCTTTAGAAACTGTATAATTGCACATTTCTTCTCTACCCTTTTGAGATGTAAATCTTTTAAAATGATGCCTCTTACCAGTTTTATAAGCCGCTAATGTCTTTCTCAAGTACTTGAAAGCCATCCCTTTGAAATGTAAGTATTCAAAAGATAGCAACCCTATCTCCCAGTCTTGGCAGGAGGGTAGGAGACTAATTTTGATGGATGTCAATTAGCAAACAAAGATGGCCTAGTAGCCACAGAAAGACTTTTACAAACTCAATATGCTGAACATGTTCTATTGATCATCCTTCCCCCTAATATCTTCATGTACATTTTTTTTCTATCTTATTCCAGCCCTTGTTTCAGGGGAGTTGAGCTCCGGCTTGCCTCTCTTCCCTATTGCAATAGCCTTAAATGAAGTCTTCCTTAACTGTTTAACTTCATTGGGTTCAATTTTTGATTTGACATCACACAAGAAAAAAAGTATAATAAATGTATTCTCAAGTTTGATAAGTCATTAAAAGCTATGTGGCATTAGCAATGAATTATGAAAGTGAAAGAAAGTTTTCTAAAGTATCAATTTTAAAAGTTTGATCAACTGTGCTAGAAAAGAGTGAATTATCTTTTTATCAATAAAAATAATATATTTCAGAATTTTCTTTCATACGAAGAAGTGATCTAGCATCTGCAGTCAAAAACTGTAAAAAAAAACTTTTATAGACATGTGTCAGGAAGCTAATTAATAAAAATATTATGTTGTTTTTCTGGAATTTGTAATATTTGTGGAATTTGTCTTATAATAACCTCTAATTCATTGTGATTTATTTTTATTAGAAATAAATATTAAATGTATAGCAAATGTTTCATTGACAATTTTACATTCTTCTTAATGAGAGTCTTACGAAATAGTCTAAGGTTTAGGCAGCACAAAAACTAGAACTAATCACTTAGCAAGTCATAAAGAAATCATTTCATCCCAAATGTTTTCCACATTCATTCTCTCCTTTGCCACATCACTTCATTTTCTCTAAACCATTGTCTACTAGATGCGGCATTACTTTGTCTTACCAGGGCTAGCGCATCAGCCTTCTCACTGATTTCTATTTAGTCCTTCCGTGTTCAATACCAGGAACTG